TTTTTTTTTTTTTATTTTAGTTATCCTGATAGGTGTGAAGTGTATCTCATTGTGATTTTGTTTTGTGTTTTACCTATGTGACTAATGATGTTGGGCATTTCTTACATGCCTGTTAGCAATTTGTGTATCTTTTAGAGTTCAGGCACCTTCTTAACACTGAAGGTATTTTATTCTTTTTCCATCTTCTTAACCTCTGAGGCTTATTTACCTACTAGGTGGCTTATCTGAAGATGTGAAAGTTTTCTTATTTCCTTTGTTTTCTTTATGGTATAAACCAGTCATCTTGGCTTTTGAAAATTTTGACTTTTTTTTGTTGTTGTTGTTGTACCTTTATGTTTCAGAGATACTTCGTTTTTCTTTTTATCCTCATGGATTGACCTAAATCCATGGACCTCAGTATGAGGTCTGTTGTTGCCTCAGTAACTTTGTCTTTCTTGGGTAAACTGAGGTTTATGAAGGAATTCACAGTTCCAGGGTTTTTTTTTTTTAAAACTAGGATTCAATCTGAGATTTAGACATTGCCCTTGGTTTCTCTTTAATCTCTTTTAATCTAAGAATACCATATTCTCATACTTTTTTTTCCCTTACTAGCATTAGGAAGTTTCTATGAATTACTTTATATACCTGTAAACTTTCCCCTTTTTTCAATCTGCAGTTAATTGGTATAGTACTTTTTGACATCACATAAATATTCTGTTCATTATTACCTAATGATTTTTAGTATCCATTAATGATCCTTGCCTAAGTCAGCTTATTTTCCTAGAGTTTGGAAAAATGGAAAAGAAAAGGAAAAGGTGACCCCTGCGTGATACAATATTTTCTTCTGCAACTCCTTTTTTACTTAACAGGGATTATTATTGCCAAGAGGTTTTCCCTCCCCTCCTGTATATAGATATAAACCAGTTTTCCCCAAGCTATGTTGAGAATCTCAGCAAGTAAGATATAAGTTAAATACTGAACTATAAAGCCTGAATTCCTGCTATGAAATTTTAAACAATCCTTGAATTTGGTGGGGGTGGTGGCTGGAGGTGGCAATGGCATGGGGCTGGGAGTGTAGTCAGAGGCTGCCATGTCCAGCAACAGCAGCTTGTGATTGGCTGTAACTGAGTTGTACGTCCCCACATCAGTGCACTGCCAGTGGGATTATCTGAAAGACAAGATTGGCAGGTAACTGAAGGGTTATATTCTGTGTTGTGACCTCATGATTTAAGTGGGAATAAAGCTGAGTATAAGCATTGATGAGGTCAATGTCTTGGTATTTAGATATTTGCAAGAGTCAGGATTTTCTCATTCAGCATTTACCTTTGGTATAGAAAGCCATATAAGTCAGTCTAATATAAATTGTCACACCTGCTGCATTGATCTCCATCATCCAGAAAGGTCTACAGTATATAGAGGCAGAAGTTAGTAAAAATGAGGACGGTATCTTGTTTGATGGTTGGCCCATAGAATCTTTGTCCCTGAAAGATGCCGTTAATGCCTGATGTACAACAAGACAACAAGCTTACAGAGGTAAGCTTGCACAGCAACAGGCGGCACCTGCTGCAGCTGCAATCAAACAAGGATCTGCAAAAAATGGAGAAAATACAGCAAATGGGGAAGAAAATGGAGCACATACTGTAGCAAATAATCATACTGATATGATGGAAGTAGATGGGGATGTTGAAATCCCTCTTAATAAAGCAGTTGTGTTCTGGGGCCATGAATCTGAAGTTTTCATCTGTGCCTGGAACCTGTTAGTGATCTCTTGGCATCAGGGTCCGGAGACTCAACAGCAAGAATATGGAATCTTAGCAAAAACAGCACTAGTGGTTCCACACAGTACTTAGACATTGCATACAAGAAGGACAAGATGTTCCAAGTAGTGAGGATGTAACATCTCTAGATTGGAATAGTGAAGATACATTTCTAGCAACTGGTTCATATGATGGATTTGCCAGAATATGGACTAAAGATGGTAATCTTGCTAGCACCTTAAGGGCAACATAAAAGCCCTATATTTGCATTAAAATGGAATAAGAAAGGAAATTTCATCCTAAGTGCTGGAGTAGACTACAGTTATTTGGGATGCACATACTGGTGAAGCCAAACATAAGTTTCCTTTTCACTCAGCACCAGCATTGGATGTTGACTGGCAGAGCAACAACACCTTTGCTTCTTGTAGTACAGATATGTGCATTTATGTCTGCAAATTAGGACAAGCCAGACCTATTAAAACATTCCAAGGACCTACGAATGAAGTAAATGCTATCAAATAGGACCAAACTGGCAATCTCCTGGCCTCATTCTGATGACATGACTTTGAAGATAAGGAGCGTGAAACAAGACAGTTGTGTTCATGATTTGCAAGCACGTAATAAATTTATACTATTAAATGGAATCCAGCAGGACCAGCGACAAATAATCCAAATGCCAATCTTACGTTAGCAAGTGCATCCTTTGATTCTACTGTTAGGTTATGGGATGTAGACGGAGGGATTTGTATTCATACTTTGACAAAACACCAAGCGCCTGTGTACAGTGTAGCATTCAATCCTGACAGCAGGTATCTGGCAAGTGGTTCTTTTGACAAATGTGTGCACATTTGGAACACACAGGGCTCTAGTTCACAGCTATAGAGAAATAGGTGGGATTTTCGAAGTTTGCTGGAATGCAGCAGGAGACAAAGTTGGAGCTAGTACATCAGATGGTTCAGTTTGTGAATGAGACCTTTAGAAATAGCGCTACTGGTTGGAAGCTATGGACCGACTATGATTGTGTACATAGTCAAAATAACTCTCCCTGATCCATGTACTGCTATAGTTCCACTCAAACCATGGCCAGTCTACTACAGCCAAGTCTAAAAGAAATGTATACATACCAGTGTATATAAACAAAATTTCACCCTGAAGATGACAAGAGTTTTGTCACAGCTTGTGAATTCTGTTCACCAAGTGCTGGAATCTAATCTGCTGTGCCCCTAAAATAGCATTTAGAAGTTTTGGGTATGAAAAACAGAAAAGAGTAACAAATATACATTATAAAAGCAGACCAAATTGATCCCTGGTACCAAAAAAATAATAATAATAAAATAAAAATAAAAGCAGACCATACATGTATCAGTTTTTGAATATTAATGACAGCCTTGTTTCTCCCCTTTGAATCAGCAGACACCATGGTTTATATTCTTTTTTTCCCTTCAGTAGTGAGCAGTTTGTATGTACAGAGAAAATGGACTTATTAAAATTTACAGCATTAGTTTGTTCTTGCTTTTTAATTTTGTTTTGGTTTAGATTATGGATGCATGAAGTAAAGGAGTGATTCAGTTTCTTTATATTTTTCTCACCTGTTAAACAACTTAAAAATACTTCTATGCATTCTTTTGAAGAGATGGATGTCTGTTAAATTTTATGGCTCCCAAAGCATATATTCAGTTGGTGCATACTGTGAAAGAGAGCATTGGAAATTAAATGAAAACATATGACTTAGGTCATGTCAATCTGTAAGATACATCAGTAAAAGGGTATTATGCTCTGTTTTTTCGTGGGTTTGTGTGTGATGTGGCTTAAATACAGCAGCTTTTTTGGTGGGGTTTGCTTTGTTTTCTAAGAGATTAAAATGTTTCAGGATAAGAATTAGCTTCAAAAAAGTAAAACAGTCCTTGAATTTGGATTTACATCTAGAATAGTTCTTCACCATGATTTTAGCCCAAAATTTAATATAAATAATAGCAGAAAATGGGTGGAGTTATTTCTTTTTTGGTTTTAGAATATAGAGATAATGTCCACAGATATTTAAAATGTGTTACACTTAGAAAACATTTTGATTCTTACTCTTCTTGGTTTGGCTCTCAAAGACATCCTGCCCCATAGATGACTCAAAACCAGGCTTTGTTTCTTGCTACTTAGAATGTTTATAAAGTCTTGTTATTATTTACATTTTATTAGAATTTACAGCTTCTAAAATAAAACTTCCTGATTATTTTTAAATGACATTATGACTCAGGCAAATTTTTATATCAAAGATTTCTTGACATTCTTCCCTGTATTTCTATGATCATATAATTTGTAACTACTTGGCATAATAGAATGAAAATAATAATTGACAATTTTTTTTTCTTGCTACTATTTTAAAAATTTACATATTCATTTTATAAATTTAGATAGATAACATTATTGCTCTTTAAAAAATGGAGAATTTTAAGCTGGGCGTGGTGGCTCACGCCTGTAATCTCAGCCAGGAGGCTGAGACAGGAGGACCATTATGAGTTCGAGACCAGCCTGGGCTCCATAGTGAGTTCCAGATGAGTCTACATAGTGAGACTCTGTCTCAAAAAACCAAAAAATAAAAAATAAAAATGGAGAATTTTGCCAAGTGTGGAGATGCACACCTATAATCCCAGCAGTTGGGAGGCTGAGTTCAAGGACAACTTGGGTCATGTAGTGAGTTTAAGAACAGTCAGAACTATATATATCTATATATATAGTGTCTCAAAAAAGGGAGAGAAATTAAAATTTATGTAGAATATGCTTGCAGTAAGTAATAACTATTCATTGTATGGAGTTGGTACATGTACATAACACATGTTTTTTAATCCCCTTCCCTCCATCTCTTGGTCTCCTGTTTTACAAAAAGTTCTATCTCCCTCTTTTTTATTTGCTGTTTATCTATACTACGGGTTTTTCATATAAGAGCAACTGTGTAATAATTAAGCTTTGTCCCCCATTTATTTCACTTAACCCTTCTAGTCTCAAGGTACATCCATTTTTCTAAAAAGGAATGAAATTACAACTTTGATGCCAGATTCCCCTCCATAAAGGCTGTAGTCCTCCCAGCAGTGAAGGTAGAGTTTGTGTCATCAGGTTGCACAGCCTTGGTAGAGCTTTAACTGGATTTTTGAGATGGAGTCTCACTGTGTTTCCCAGGCTGATCTCAAATTTATGGGCTCATGCCTTGGCCTCCTGAGCATATCCCTGGCAGAGTTGCTGTCAAAGTATGGTTTTGGTGCCAAGTGTTCATTTGAGTTTTTTTTTTTTTTTTTTTTGAGTTTTTAGCTTGAATACACTCTTTAAATTCTGGGTTTGGTATAACCACTAAAGACTGCACATTTGGGGGGCTGTTCTCTGCATGCACTTAAGCAAGAATGGACATAGTATGAAGAAGATGTGAGGGTTGGAGACTTAGGGTTGTTTCTTGGTTTTCTTACTTCCTAGCTCCTGAGACCTTAGGCAACTTACCCAGCCACTCATTGTCTTAGTTTTGTTATCTGCAAACTTTGTAGAACTTACATTTGTTAAATCAGATACAGTGTAAGAGAAAACAGTGCCTTGCATATAAGAGCACAAGAGTATTGGTTGTTACTAACATGCAACTCTACACTTTGTTCAGTGAGCGATGTTCTTACAACCTAATTCAAATTATGTAAGAGTAATTAATAACTTAGTAATAAAAATTAAGATATGCTGAAACGTAATTAAATAGTACTGGGAAAGCTATGTGATTTGTGGTATTTTAAATATGTTCTAATATCTAATTTTTCTCTATTGGGAATGCATTTTTATAATAGAAAAGAACGTAACATAGGTTATTAAGTGATTTTTGTTAAAGTATTCCTCCCTCTTTTCCTGTTGTAGACAGAGAGTGCATGGGCTGAAGAATATGCCGAGAAGAAGAAAGGGTCTCACAAGCGTTCTGCATCCTGGGGCAGCACAGATCAACTTAAGGAGGTCAGGAAAATGTTCCCAAGGATTGGAAATTGGACTAGTTCTTAGAAATTGTGGGCAGCAAAAATTGTTGTTTTCTGTTGATTTATTTTTTGTTTTGTTTTGACTTTCAAAAGAACAGAAAAAGTTACGTGTTAATTTGATGAAGATTTGAATGGGGAAATGTACACATTTCTTACTTGACTATGTCATGAGTTTTATCCTCCGCCTATCTTTTCTTTTTTCTTTTTTTTTTGGTACTTGGGATCCAGGAATCGAACTTGGAACCTTCCCGCTTACAAAGCAGGCAGTGGAACCACTGAGCTAAATACCCCCACCATCAAATCCATACTTGTCAATACAATTGGAATTTTAAAATTGTGGTAATAAAACAGATTAACATTTATTATTTTTCTGTATGTGATGTTTCTGAAATTTGGTAATTCATTATAACCAAATTGGTTATGGGTCTATGCTTTGATTACCACTTTTTGTCCCTATAATTAATGATACTTGCATTTTACATGTAATGTAAGAGACATTCAGTCAAGGGGTGACATTGAATAATCATTGAAATTGCATATATTAAATTGCATGGCTTGACTAGATTTTCATATGCTGTGTAATTTTTGGATCGGTTTAAGTATTCAATAAAAAACTTAAATCTTAAATAAAAGTTGACTTATAGTAAGGGCAGTGTTAAATTTTAAATATTTCTGAAAGCTTACTCTTAAGTCCTGAAAACATTTGTTTGGTAGTTGGGAAACTTGACTGAAAACAATGTTGGAAGATAGGTTTTTCTTTGCAATAAAGATACACACATGTTTGTATGTATAGGTGTGCATTTATGTTTAGCAACTTTGCACAGTAAAGTTTTGTGATATTTTTTACATATTCAAAGATTTACTAAGGATGAGATCTTTTTGCGGGTGTGGTGCCAGGGATTGATCTCAGGTCTTTGCAATTGCAAGGCAGGTGGCAGAACCAATAAGCTAAATTCCTGGCCTGAGATTTTTTTTTTTTTTTTTTT